GAATATGTAACCAAAACAAATGATCTGTGTTTGCCCCTCCTGTGTTTGGCACATGAGGAGACTGACCAAAGTTGGGGGAATGAGAGGGACAGATGGTTTTCCCCATTGTTCCACTTCTGTTTTAAGTATATGCTTGACTAAGCCCTTTCTGTGCCTCTGTCACAGTCGAGTCTCCATTTAGTGGAAGGCATTTTCCCTAGCCTCATGGGATGTCACTCTAAAGGCGACCTGTGCTCCTCCTTGTTATTACCAATATACAGCTCCTGTGACAGTGGGCGGCCATCAAGTGTGACAGTGATTATTTAGCTGCTAAGATGTCATTAGGAAAGGTTGACAGTTCTGACACCCTGTGATGCCCTTAATGATTACTTACAGCATTCACTTCAGTGAGCAGTAACTCACCAGTTGAATGTCTGCTTTGCCCTTTGGTGACTTTCAATAAGGCTCCCTTTGTATATGATCCACCATCAAAGTCAAAGCTGGAAGTCCTGCGTGAAAATCAGAATTCTTTTGCTTAAAGGCATTATTTTAAAAGTTGTTTGATAAATCTTTCTGTAGTCTGAATGAAAATGAAAAGAAATATATTTTAATATTAGTTTTACAAAGAGTCGCAGATTTTTAACATACATGTTAAGTCAGTGCTTAATAGCTGTTGGGTGATGATGTGACATTAAAAGGAATAGGCTATAAATTTATAATAAATGCTCTAGTTTGAAAAGTTGAATATAATTCAGTCATCTATCAGCAAATGTTTAATGAATGCATGTTATGTGTCAGACACTGTTCTGGAGATGTTATCTACTGATTCCTTATTATTTGACCTATTTTTTAAAATTCATTTATGTAATTAGGTGGAACTTGAAAGCCTATTTAGTGTCTCCCTGATAAGATAAAGAAGTATTAACATGGATCCTATATTCAGTGAAACTCTTAAGGCCCTTATTGAGGAACAGTGCATTGTATTGGCATTTATTTTAAATTTGCATCTTCCAAAAAGTGAAGTTAAAAGTATAGATTGGTTCTGTGGTACAATTTAAGTACGCTTCATTTTGGGCAAACAAATATGTGGAGGAAGGGGGAATGAGATTTATATAGACACAAAAGGAATTAGCTATGACTGCTCATTTTCATAGCCTTCTTCATAGGAATTAACTTATATTATGCAAGCTCTCTGCTGGAGTGGTGTCCAGACACTTACCTGTGTGATACAGAAGCATGCAACTAAGAACCTATCAAAGCTCATTGTTCACCCAAGAGGATATAGCATAAGGAGGAAAGAGCATGGGAGTAAAAATAAAAGAAGATCAATCCAGACTCACTCTAGATGTGTGTTCATAAATTTACCTCTCTGGACTTTAAGTCCTGACTATAAAATGAAAGAGTGGTCTAAATCATTCCTTATAACCATGAAATTCTAATGATATATCAACTAATCTCCATTAAGGAACACATGAGAAAACTGCAATAGAAGACTCCATAGCTCTCCATGACTTTATGCTCAAGGATTAAAATGTACCCCAGACATTCTTATCCTTTAGTATCCTACTATGGACCCATCAGCCACTGATATATTTAGTGTCTTTTCTCTGCTTCTACTTTCAAGCAAAGTTTGTGAATCAAGAGTTGACTTTGAGTAAATCACATCAAGAGTTCATGTCCATTCTGTGATGGGTAGCTTTTTATAAAAGGCCTATGATTCCTCCTAGCAGTTTAAAATAAACAGATATTCTTAGGAAAAGTTTATTTAGAAACAAATGTTAGCCATTTGTATGTCTTCTTGGGAGACATACAAATGGCCAACAGACATATGAAAAAAAATGCTCACCATCACTCAGCATCAGGGAAATACAAATCAAAACCACAATGAGATACTACGTCATACTGGTCAGAATAACTAAAATTAACAACTCAGAAAACAACAGATGTTGGCAAGGATGTGGAGAAAGAGGAACCCTCTTACACTGTTGGTGGGAATGCAAACTGGTATAGCCAGTCTGGAAAACAGTATGGAGGGGCACATGCACCCCAGTGTTTATAGCAGCCATGTCCACAATAGCCAAAATATGGAAAGAGCCCAGATGTCCATCACTAGATGAATGAATAAAGATCTGGTGTATATATACAATGGAATTTACTCAGCCATCAAAAAGAATGAAATCTTACCATTTGCAACAACATGGATGGAACTAGAGAGTATTATGCTAAGTGAAATAAGTCAGTCAGAGAAAGACAAATACCATACGATTTCACTCATATGTGAAATTTAGAAAACAAAACAGATGAACATAGGGGAAGGGAAGGAGAAATAAAATAAGATGAAAATCGAAAGGGAGGCAAACCATAAGAGATGCTGAAGTCTAGGAAACAAACTGAGGGTTGCAGGAGGGGAGGTGGCTGGGGGATGGGGTAACTGGGTGATGGGCATTAAGGAGGGCACTTGATGTAATGAGCACTGGGTGTTATATGCCACTGATGAATCACTAAATTCTACCTCTGACACGTATAAAAACACACACATAAATGTTCAATGGTGCCATACTGCCGTGTTGCTGTGCTCCCCTTAAGTGTCATGATAAATGTTACCAGGATTCTGACTCACCTTTAGGAGTTACTGCTTTCAACCTGATTGACTTTGGCAAGCTATTTTTAGATAATATCAAAATTACTTCAGTCTGGAACTTTGACCAATACAACTTTTGGCTTCTAGATTTTTGTTTACGCTCAGTAAGGACACTCTTAATACTCGGAGTGGGGGTGGGAGCTGGGGAATGGATATGTAGAGGCTGGCCAGGTGACCAGCTCTAATGTGGTTTCAACCTTATAAGGATGTGCATTACTAGACTATCTCAGCTCTAAATCAAGGAAACTGTTTCCAAATATAAGTGAGAAAACAATTTTACCAAGGTTGACTACTTGTATTGCAAAGTGGTAAATTTCTAAAAAAAAAAAAAACTCCTCAAAATAGAGCATTGAGTGCAAAAATCCCCCAGAGCCTCCTGGACAAATCTCTTATTGCCCTGTAAGAAAATCCAATGCTGGATTCAACCCAAGACTTTAATTGGCTGGACTCTTGACAAACTGAAAACTGAGGAAAGCCTTTAGGCTTCCAAGATGCTGTCCCTAAAACTGGTTGTTATGATCTATATCTCCTTGGCTCAGTGCTCTGGACTCATACAGTTTCAAAGTTTTGGATTATGAAAGAAAATATATTTTTAATTGGTTTTATAAAGAATCCAGATTTTCACATAGAGTAAGTTTGTTTTAATAGGTGCTGTATAAAGCATATTGCCTGGTTATTAAATCAGTACTGTGAGAAAAGCACTCATATACTCAAGTGGAAGTGGTGGGGCAAATAGAGACTTTTGTAGTGCAATGCTTACATTTTGTGTTGTGGTTTCTGATAATACTCAACATTGCATTTGCAAGGAGAAGAGTCAAGGATCCAGGATACTGTATCATAAGCAAAAATGATGCTGTTGATTGTATTGGTATCTGAAAATTGGTAGATTACATCTAAGATTGGAAGAACCTAAAGAATTGTCTGACAAATGGGATATAAACATGAAACAGCGTGATTTCCATTTTTTAAGTTAATTACAGCCTACAGCAGTGTTAATCTTTCCTTTTTGTCATTGCTTATAAAGGCCTTGTTAGTTTTATGAAGAAATCGTGAATCATTTCAACCAGAAGTACATCCTAGAACAGAATCGAGTTCCTCAATTTTGAAAAACAGACTACTTATTTGGGAGAATTAATGTTTTCAGATGATAAAGCCTACTTGAAGAATTAAATCACTGTAATATTTAATAGTTTACAATGTACAATATGGTTCTTTTTAATCATTTAATGATTTCCTATTACAACAATAACCACAACAAACCTATCTTACAGTGTGACCAGAAGTACCATTTGGATCATCTAGCTTGACTAGATTTGCTAGATAACTATTTTACATTATGTCTACTCAGGCCGTATACATCTTATTCTTGAAAACGTTGAAGGTTGTCACTCAGACATCTCTTATCTTATACAAATGCCCCATGCAAACTGGGAAGAATTCTTCCTTTCTTTTTTAACCCTAATATTTGCCATCCTAGATCATTATTCCTGTATTCCAAGCCAGAATAAATCCTTTTCTGTATTTAAATATAAGTCATTTTACTTAGATTTTCATGGATCCATCACCTCTATGATCTTGTCACTTAGTGTTTTGTTCGTTCAGCTTCTTGCCTAATTGTCACAGATATGCTGAGCTTTAGTCCTTCTGTGTTTTCAGTTGTTCTCTTCATGGTTCTGTAGGTTATTTTTATCTCTTTCTCAAAGAGGTTGGATCAGTCCATTGCAATATACATCTTCTTTTGCCAAACCATCATTCCTTCCCTGTTCTCAACATAGCTTCTCTGGTCTTAACTCTAAATGTCCCTGTCCCTCCATTTTGCTCTGGATGCCATTTCTCACTTCCAAGAGGAACCTACTAATTCTGTGTGTCTTTATTTTCCTGCAATACTAATGCTCTGTCATCTGCTTGTAATGCTCTGTCATCTGAAATATAACATTTCTTTTCATTTCCTTTGTTCTTCGAGCTGATTATTCTTAGTGCCCACTGAGCCATTTTATTCCTTTTTTCTCTTCCTCTTAGTGATATTCACTGATACTTATTTATAAATGAATCTAGGTGAAAGACAAATAATTTGTACACTATATTTGCATAGTTCTTATCCTTTTATGCCTTCATGTACACTATAGCTTGATCCTGACACTCCTAAGAGGTAGATGAGAACGTATCTCCCTCTTCTATAGGTGAGAAAATGAATGTTCAGAACATTTTAAATGGCTTGTCTCACAGCTAAGTCAAGGTTAAGACTCAGATCTCCCGACTCTTTCTCCTGTCCCGTACCATATCACCTCTCTCTGGCAGAAGGATTGCAATCCATTAAAAGATCTTCACTACATTAGAAACTGGATGGAAATTAACCAAACGCTTCATTGTACCTTTGCAGATGAGAGCCCCTACACTAAATCCGCCAGCCAGACAAAGCCGCCTGATGGAGCGTTGGCTGTGAGGAGACAGAGCATCCCAGGTTAGACCAGACTGTTGGATTTTTCAGCTGTTTTACTTTTGAACCCTGTTATTTGGTGATCCTAAATAGTTCCAACTTGGTAATAAAAATCAATGCAATTTCATAGGGTGTAGACTGCATTCTACACAACTTGTTCAAAGGATATTCAAAACAGCTAGACTTGGAAAAGCTTGCCAACTTGTGAGAAATCATCTTATGTGCAAATCCTTTGTAAAATGACTTGAAGTTATGTCAGCTCTCACTCATTTGCTTACTCTCTTCTCTGTTTCCAGGGGGTGACTTCCACAGCAGCATCTATTTCTTTACTGAGACATACAAGGCAGAACAAAGGGGTTCGAAATTGCTGTGGCAGAACATATATTTGCTGAATAACAAATTGGTCCTTTCTTCTTAGCTCTTTGAACATGGATTTACTTCCACTGGGCAACTCTTGTAAAATTCTGGGGCTTTGTCTCTTTAGGAAGCTGTGATTAGGATTCTTTAATTCAGTAAGTGATACCTGTTTTTTAAACAAAATATTTTGGACAAATATCTTAAAATGCCTTTACTCCAAAACTTCAATATTTTCAAGTTTTGAGTTTGAGAATGACACAAAAGTTCTAAAGGAGGAGAAAAATTCAAAATACTATGCAAGCTTGATATAAACTAGTTAATCCATGGAAAAGCTCTCATGGAAGCAACTGTACTTAAGAGAAGGGTTAAAACCATTAATACATTTAGACATTTATCAAAAATAATGTCTTTATATATTTTATACAAGTAAATTGAGTACCACTAAACCTTTGCTATGGGGTTTTAGAGCATAGTAGTGTAACAATTCAGGAGAAATAAAGCAGTGTTTCCAACATTAAATTGAATGGTTTGGCAAAGTCTGTCAGTGAAAAGGGGATTTTTTCTATTTGAATAAGAGCAATATGAGTCCAGTTTCTGAGCAACCCTGCTAATGATTATTATTTACTTTTATAAGAATGACGTGGTTATTTTTATTCTTATTCTGAAGGCTTGGATTCATTATGAAAGTTCATGGCTTATAAAGAGGCTGTAAATATGTTATACATTCTTGCTTGTGTGCTTTGAAGATTCTAAAGTAATTTGAATTCTATAATTGGATGGCATCACCCAGTGCTGAGATTTCTTCTATTCCATTCTATAAAACATCATTCTTAATGCTAGTCACATTTAGAAAAACTACTGTAGTCAGCTGTGGGCTGTGTTCTCTACTTTCTCCTTGTCAGCAGTAAGGAAGTATCCAAAGTTTGAAGTTCAGGAATGCCAGTTATCCATCAATTCCTTCCTGGCTTCTCTGCATTACCTGGTATGCACTACTCCTCTGTTGGAAAGAGTGAAGACTTCCTAACGTCCTTAACACTTTATGTGATGTTGAACAAAAGCACTGACTATAATCTTGTTTTCTTTTCATGGGTTCTCTAGTGTTACTAAATTATATCACGTTTGAGGGCTAAACTTTTCCCTAAGATCATTAAGTAGTTTTTTAAGTTACGTGCTAGGTACACAGAAGTCGTTCATCATAATCCTTAGTTCATGACACGCAGTGATTCTTCATTACAGAAATTTTTCCTTTGGTCCTCCTTATATCAGTTTAATAGAATCAATTTATTTAGAATCACAAACCTTTCTTGTAGCCTTCATAGCTTATTTTTTTAGGGTTTAAACATGGACAAACACCTTTCAGTTCATCTCTAATGAGGTGGCATCCAGAAGGGTTCAGGGTCTTGAAAATCCTCTTATTAAGAACAGTCCAAGAAAAAAGACTTCACCAGCCAGAGGGCTAAGAAACCAAAGTGGTTAATAGCTGATTATTACTTACTATATCATAAGGAGAAAATTAAGGAACCTCTTAGAAACTGCTTCCCGACTGACTTCTAACGCTTGAAGTTCTGAACGTTTACTTACTTGACTTTACTGTCTTACTTAAAAGTACCTATTAATTCTTGTTCTGACAAAAAAAAAGGGGGGGTGTCCTCCCTTGATCTATGGCCAAGAAGTCACTTAAGGAGAGATCTAACCCAGCATCCAGAAGTCTTGACCCGTCACCTACTGTGTTTACTACCTTTACCCCTACCAAGTCCATGAGAAAGAAATGCACAGAGGAAGAGTCTGGGAAAATGCGCACTCTTTATTAATTGTGGAAGCTTTAGCTGAAAAATCCTGAAATGTTCTCCTGTTGAACTCCATTGGACCACATGGAGCCATAAGAACAAAATGCAAGTTTGCAGCCTTTGTTCTTTCTCCTGTGCTCCCCTCCCAATCTTACCCTTCTCAAAGGTGTTTTCCCACCTTGGTAGCAAGGAAAGTTGTGTCTAGAGAAAAATGCAACAAGGAATTGAAAGAAGGCCTAAACAGGTCTTTCTTGGTTAATCTAGCAGACCATGGATCTTCTTGGTGAAAAGATAACTCTCAGGGCAGATGCAGCCCTACAGCCATTTTGCTGCCCCAAATACCAAAAGCAAACACAAGGAAGCTGGAATCTTAAAGGAGCTATGGTTTTCCTCACATCTACCCCCAAACTCCACTCTCAACAATCCAACAGTGCTGACTGAATTTGATCATTCGTGTTAGCGCTTTCTCTGATGGAAGGAGTGAGAGTGTAGTGGAGGAAGAGTGTAAGATAGTGGAAGGCATATTAAGCTTCTCGATCCAAGTTTTATGAAAGCTTAGTTCTTTGAAACTTATTCTACAAATGTAGACCTGGTGCTCCCTGGAATAAATAGTTACACACGTACACATAGGCAAGATTTCTTAACATGGGTTCCAATATTTTCATGGCATAACAAGGAGCAACTTGTAATAATTCTGTCCCAAAGAGGTAACCTTGAATGTTAACAGAGATATAATTTGCTTTTCATTCGTATCAAGACCCACATACCCTGTCTAAACTCAGAATTACTGCAGCAATTATTTTATACTCAAAAGTCAAATATGTGTCTTTTCTTAAGTGACAATTCTAACTGTAAATCCTTTCATCCTCCTCCTTTACTCTTCTCAAAAAAGGGAATGGATTAAACATCTCTTAGGAGCAAAATACATTTGCTTTGGATAAAGAGGAAATGCATTATTCATGTTATTTGGAAATTGGTCATTTTAATCATGTCTCTTATGACACTAAATGTGCAGGAAAAAAGATTCTTTAGCCTTTCATAAAGTTTTGTAAAATTTTAATAATGATGATAGTAAAAAAATGACATGAGTGTCTCTACAACACTGAAGTTTAAATATAGATTAAAGACCTGTTAAGTCTGTTAAAAAATATTCAGGAGTCATATTTTCAATCTCTTTTCTGCCCATTTTTTTAATCAAAGAGAAGATGATTTCCAAGTACAAAGATATTTTGAAGTAACAGATTCTACCACACATCTATGTTTATTAAAAAGAATCTCTTGATCTGTTCCCGTTTATTTGACAGATTACTGGTGAACTGAAATTTGACCACTTGAAGGGTCTGTCCAAATTATTAGAGGAAATCTCTACTGACTCCTAGTTTAACACATTTTGCAATAATTTGTTGCATTACCAACTTAGAGATAGATGAAGGATTTAATTCTGTCTGTCTAATATTAATGAAGGGAAAAGATAGGCTACTACTGTAGACCTCAAGGCCTAGAGTTCATGTATTATTTATTTGACATGCTTCCTCTTTCCAAGTAGGATAGCTTTCTTTGATTATGCTAGCCTTGACAAAGATTTCTGGGCAATTCACAAATGCAAGAAGACATCAAGCATTCACATCTATTGTATTTCCAAACTTTGGTGCCCCAGGAAAATTATCTTAACTCTAGCCAGAATGAGCTACAAAAGTTTGTGTGAGATTTTTTTTCCTCCTAGAATATAAAAAAAGACACATCAATTTGGCCATAATGGAATGAAGTCTGTATCAGTCATTCTTCCTTCTCACATTTGGATTATTTGCTGGGGGAGTAAAAATATGGAGCTGAGTCTGAAATGTCCATTAGCCTAAGGTGTACACACCCAAGCTGTTTAGAATCCATCCAGGAAGGGTCAACACCTATGGAAAAATCAGTCTGGAAAATACTACCAGGCCCTCGGCACCACAGAGAAGCTGGCCACCTTGAATTAAGGAGGAAGGTTCTGCCTTCTCTGTCCAGCATTTCCCAGTCTTCGTTAACACACCGTTTGACACTACATTGGTCAACATTCTCATTATTACGGCACACAGAGTGGGACATTTACACTAGGATTTTATAGCCATAAGATTGTTCAGGTGTGTGAAGGGCATGTACTCTGGTTTGGGGCTGGTTCTCCTTTCTTCTGCGCGGCTCCACCATTGAGTTCCTCCAAAAAATGAGCGAGTCCTACTGATGGCAAACTAAGGTCAGTGGAATGAAGCACGGATGAAATGTCATACAAAGAAGGCACTGCACAACGTACACGTGTATCAAGTCACCACATTGTTCACTTAAAGTATCTTATGGTTTTATCAATTACATCTCAATAAAGCTGGGGAAAAAGAGGTAAAGGACCATTATATTTCCAATGTACTCTCAAATGATTTAGAAAAGAAAATTTGATGTGTGTGTGTGTGTATGAAGGAGTGCTGCATAGTGTTCCTACAAGTTTTATAATTTTCAACTTATTTCAAAGATTAAAAGTCCAGGGCGCCTGGGTGGCTCAGATGGTTAAGCGTCTGCCTTCGGCTCAGGTCATGATCCCAGCGTCCTGGGATCGAGTTCCGCATCAGGCTCCCTGCTCCTTGGGAGCCTGCTTCTCCCTCTGCCTCTCTCTCAATCTCTCTGTCTCTCATGAATAAATAAATAAAATCTTTAAAAAAAAAAAGATTAAAAGTCCAAAAAAAAGAATGGAGCCGTGATGCACCAATGCTTCCCAAAGATACTGAGTCCAACTCAGCTATTAGGGAGGGTGGGACCCACGCGGGAAAATAGCAAAAGACAAGCAGCTTTGCTACTCAGTCAGGCTGTCCCTGCATCCTCAAAAGCAAGCAGTGGGCCAAGGTCAGGACAAGG